CGGACTTCGCACAGGCTCCGTGACAACTGATGCGGTAGCTAGGCCTTCTGTGGTAGCGTGGACGACTTCACCATGGGACGCGGAGAGTGTAGCGTTTCGAGCGTTTTGCTGCATCACGGAGCACGTCTTCAAATTCGCTACTAGCGAACTTTGCACCTTTTTCGCACCAAACTTGTGCCGCGTGCGGTATTTGTGCTCAGGATTTAACATCGTGTAACTTCTCCACTGACACAGAGGCAAAATGGCACGCATGGGCACGCACCCGGAGCAGACGAAGCCAGGAGCCTCCACCAATTGGGAGACAAGCTCACGTCACGTGCGTGAAGAAGCGAATAGGAAGGCGATCCGATACTTTTTTTTGCCGCTCATTTTACAAGCTGCCAATGGTTGTATGCACTGCATTTACAAATCTCACCGCCAGTTTCTGCCACGTGGACCACCAGCCACAAGCTCATGTGTTCCCTCTAACAGCGGACCGTACTGTAACCTTGCAAGGTACCCACTATGACAGAAATTGGTGCAGCGGCTGATGACAATGAAGATTTATGGCTGAGCCCTTTGTCATGTGTCCTCAACAACTCACCCATTATGCCATTTGCATTTGTATTTGCCAGGGGACAGAATTCGCATTACGACACCTGGTTGTTATTTCATCATTCTACCACGCAATACTTTCACATGTTAACATGACTCCTTCTCAACATAACACCTGCACAGGGAGTTTCGCAATGAAGTTTCAAGCACCGGCATGGCCCTGAACTTGAATATTGGGCTGCCAACCAAAAAGAGGACCGGGGTTTGAACCCCATTCCAGCCTAGGCATTTCCTTTTTTGTTTCTTATTTCACGTGACATTGGTAAGAGACACCGGCCGCGATGCAAATTTAGGGCACCCTATTGTGATCTCCAGGCTCGTGCAAATATTAGAACACTTCACATATTCGAATAAATGTTAAGGTATTCAAATTCGCTTTAGGTTTAAATTATTGCAAATTTTAGAAGTATTCAAAATGAACGAATAAATGTATATCAATCCGGATGTAACCCTCCGTAAAGGTAGTTTCACAGCAGTAGAGAGGTGCTGCACAGTGAATACACCTTAAAAAAAAAAAAATGCACTGTCGCAAAGCCTTACTTCACATTAAACAAATCGATTGATATGTGGAGTTTAACGTCCCAAAACCACCATATGATTATAAGAGACTCCGTAGTGGAGGGCTCCGGAAATTTCGACCACCTGGGTTTCTTTAACGTGCACCCAAATATTAAATGAAAAAAAAAAAAAAAAACTACACTCACAATGATTCATCATTTCGTAAGCTTAAAAGTTTGTTTTACTGGCCTATGTGCTCAGAGTATAGTATGAGTGCAGTTAACTTTAAAACGAAACACATTTTACAGGTTATTGCTTACACTCTACCAAAAGTCAAATCCTGCTACTATGGCAAGTTGGTTCCACTTTTTTTCAACCACAAAGAATGACATTTGTACATGATACCGAGGTAACAGCGCAAAAAACGAGACGGAAAAAGAATGAACATACGACAGAAGCGCTGACGAACAACTGAGTGTAAAATTTATTACACCTGGAAATATATAGCTGAAAACAGAAACAAGAACAAGAACCAGTGAAAGGCAAAAACGAATCTGCCACGAGTCGCAATGTACAAGTTCAAGACATTATCTTTTTTTCCAGGAGGGCGAATAAAGGCTCACTGACGCACATGTTCCCTTCGTTTTGATATGAAAAGGCCTTGTTGATTTCGCACTGTCTTGTTATGATAACTTGAAAGTATCCTGCATTCAAGAAAGAGAGGGACGCAGCTGCACAAGGAGCAATGAGCTGCCAAGGTGCTGCTTGTTGAAGTCCTGATAATGTTTACGTGCTCTCTCAGGCAGTCGTTCAAACAGCGACTGGTGTGTCCAGTATAGTGTTACGGAGATTACAAGCACACGGAAGAAAGAAATGAGTGTATTACCAATATTTACAAGTAGGTGAGAACCACCAGGGCTGCCAGCCTTTCGCGCGCTCAGTCCGCTTCCTTTGATTAGCCTACGACCGAGGGGCCATGCCCACTGCCTCGTAACAATAGGACAGACCACAGGACGACGGAATGTCGCACACTACGTTGCTCACACACTTAACGCACTGCGTCCTGTGTTTCTTGACACACACATGCTCTTTCAGATTTTCATTGTTCACTTTCTTGTAAAGGCGGCCGAGCTTACGAGGAGCCGAGAAAACGAGTCTCGCACCTGCCTTGCTAACAATCTTCTTGAGCGCAAGGCTCAAACCGTGTAGGCAAGGGATGACATTTTTTGTCTTTCCTGTGTTGGGTGTGTCCAGGAGCCACGTTTCGAAAGCTCCCTCAATAGATACTCTCAAGATATCGTAACAAAGCTAAGTTCAAAATTAACGAGGCCTTTCATATAAAGATGAAAGGGAACCTGTACATCAGTGAGCCTTCATTTGCCCTCCTATAAAAAGAGATAATCTATTTGAGTAATTAACCTGTACATTTCGACTCGAGGCAGCCTTTCACCCTTACGTGCACGTGATTTTACAGAGAAAGCTGTTATGAAATCACAACTCTGGTCACGCGCAGTTGTCCGCCGCCACCACCCGTGTCCGTAACCAAATCGCACGAAATTATAAAAAAAAAAACCTAGCACCAAAGAGACAGTGGGGCTCAAACCCGGGTTCGCTGAGTGCCAGCCCAGTGTTCTACCACTGAGCTACGCTGGTGCTTGTTGGCATGCTAGCCTTAGGCAGGCTTGATGTCAGGAAAGCAATCGTGTTAATACGACTTATAAAACATTTTAAAACAACAAAAGAACAACCAGCCATCACACATCGCGAATAGTGTACCGAGTTGGCCGTCCACAGCTCCAACCCATTACAAAAGCTTCTTCTTCCGCTATTAACTGTGGTGCACACCCCCTTCAGCCATAATTTCTCATCGTCATCAGCCACTACATAAACAATTGGCACGAAATTTCTTGCAGGTGTTAAGCGGATACCACGCTTCCCTGAAGAATTACGAAAGATACCATAGCAAATGGCGGCCTACTACCCAAAAGTTTATTATTAATGCCCTTGTGGATATCAAGCAAGTGTGCTTGCAGTAGTTGCCCAATGAGTGTTTTGAAACGGCTCTGAAAGGCCGCTCGTCTAGCTTTCTCCAAGACTGTGCTGCGCCTTCGGCGCAGGCCTGGTGTTTTTTTGTTCTTGTTTTCTCTTTTGAGCTATATATTTATAGGTCTATTGATTGATTGATATGTGGGGTTTAACGTCCCAAAACCACTATATGATTATGAGAGACGCCGTAGTGGAGGGCTCCGGAAATTTAGACCACCTGGGGTTCTTTAACGTGCACCCAAATCTGAGCACACGGGCCTACAACATTTCCGCCTCCATCGGAAATGCAGCCGCCGCAGCCGGGATTTATAGGTCTATTAACACACAGTTCTATTAACACACAGGCCTGGTGTTTTTTTTGTTCTTGTTTTCTCTTTTGAGCTATATATTTATAGGTCTATTAACACACAGCGCTTTGTGTCGTGTGTTCATTCTTTTTTTGTCCCGTTTTTTACGCTGTTTCCCTTAGTATCATGTACCAACTGGCCCTTCAAGAAACCTATTTGCAAAAGCTTTGTTTCAATTAAAAATATTTTGTGCAGGTTACTTGGGCCATTATAAATATGCTCTAAGACAAGGCATTTAAGCTCAGCACTTTTTTAATAAACAGCATGCACCGTCCTCACGGCATGTCAAGGAGGAGGAACAGCTGAGCAGGTGCAAGCGTCCCGATCCACCGAACGTCGTCTTCTTTCTGTCCGAGAGTGGGAATCCTCTGCCTTTCAGAAGAGTGCTGATGTTTTCCATTACAGCTCATATTTTTTTTTTTGTCTTTGTAATATCCGACCTCAACTATTCAAATTCAATTCAAAACTATTCTATCCAAATCATTAATAGCTTTGAACCGAAACTTCACCAGTCACAAAGCTTAGTTATTTCGTATAGCTTTCGTTGAAAAAACGAGAAATTCAAGCTGCTGAAATCTCGCTCACTACTTCAACTAAGCACATCTACAGATTTGCAATATGCTTCACCGGAACGTTGCGGCAGTGTGGCAAAGCTGAATTTTGAAACCCACTACAGAGAATGAGCAGCGGAGGCTTGTTTTAAATCATGCAATTCGATTAAAAAGTTGAGATATTGAAGAGTTTCAGTGTCAAACTTCAGACACTGTCGTAAATTGGCTCTATGGGTCTTGTGGCAATCTTGTGAAAGCATTTTAATTTACAAACGTGTGCGAAAAATCAGTAGCTTTGTCATTCTTGCCACCGATGCCTGTTAGCTATCTCATCCGATGGAATCGTTTTCCCACAACAGTTTGACATCCCCCTATTTAGCTTTTCTTTTTGTGCATGTGTAACCCATTTATAGCCATCATCAGTTATAACAATAGAGCTTTTGTGCGACTTGAGTACAGTTATAGGTGGATGCAACTGTAGACTTTAACATAAATAATATATCACCATAATCATCAGCCTGTCTACGTCCACTGCAGGACAAAGGCCTCTCCCATTTTCCGCCAGTAAACTCTGCCTCGGTCCAGGACTTGCTGCTGCCATTTTATACCCGCCAACTTCTTAATCTTCATCTGCCCCATCGAACTTTCTGTCTCCCCTAACCCACTTGCCTTCTCTGGGAATTCAGTTGGTTATTCTTAATGACCAGCGGTTATCTTGTCTACGCGCTAGATGCCCGACCCATGTCCACTTCCCCTTGATTTTACAAAGCTGTGTAATGCAGCAGTTTTTTTCCTCCCATGATAAGTGTTTTACACAATGCTTCTGGCACACTGTGCTCCAAATGGCCAGCTTAGCTCTGTAGACACGGCTGGTATACAGCAGGGCCAAGATTGCATCTTGTCATAGACTTTCATCAGCCTGAGAACAGGCACAGCTGCAGAGAAGAACAGTGTGCATTCTCACCTTGTTCTCAATCTCCACCTTCGTTCCACCGTACTCAGGTAAAAGGACCTTGTCACCTTCCTTTACAGCTATTGGGATCGTTTGGCCAGACTGCACACAAATGGTTACATCATTTAGGAATACCCTCACAGGCCGGCCCCTGAAGAGGCATAGGGTGAGGGGGATGGAATATATATACTAGCAAAATTAAAGACATCGTACGCGCACATGTATTAAAGATGTGCAAAGTGAAGGTACATTCCAAATCCCCAAAACTAACAACTCTCAATTAAAAAAAAATCACAGTGAAAAATAAATTGACAGATCACTAAACACAAATAGAAAAACAGCACAGCAAAAAGTGAGTATTGTGCAGGAGTAATACAATTCAAGTTGATCATTATACATTACGCAATGAAGACACAAGCGCACGACAATGCTATGAAAAAAATGACCCCAGCTTCTTGAAGGGAATCATGAAAAAAATGTGAATGCATTGTGTAACGTACATAACGACGTTTCGCACGTGAGAACCTAGTGTTAGAATATTTGTTTTTTTTACACCATGCAGCCAATAGTGGCATTAACCCCACGTGTCATTTCTCTGTCGCGAGAAATGCGGTATGCGTTTTCTGCTATAGTAGCTAGCGTGCACGGTAAAAAACTACTATGAAGTGACCAGGCTGACGGAGGGGGAGACGCGGAATGGGAGGCTGCGTTCGTACGGCTCCTGTGGACGCGCAACTAAATCTGTGTTTCTGGAGTTTTTTTTCTTCAAGAGTTCATGAACTGTTGCTCGCATCGGTTCCGAGAAGTCATCACGATCCTACCGATACCATATTTGACCACAGTGAGTGAGTTTTTGTCAAGTTAGGAACTATTTCTTTTCCTGTGGAGCGGTGACCTTTTTAACCCTAACGAGTGGCTTGGGAGACCGCGCTTTTGCTGGGCTTGTTCTCGCCTGCGGCCGGCCCTTCGAAGGCCTGGTGCGCGGAATTATTTGCTCACGATGGAGTATGAAGTGCACGGAGAGGATATTTCAGAAGAAGAGTTTACTCAAGATAAAGGTTGGTAGTCCGCAGGGTCCAGAAGACCTGGCCCCAAAACATGCACTGCTGACTATAACGCGCTATCGTCGCAGCCGGGCGCACGCCGCGGCAAATCGAGTGGCGCTGCGCTGAAGTCCAAAGTATTACGGGCGGGAAAGATGCCCTCCCTTCCTCAAGATGACATCAAGATTGTGATCCGGCCGAGAGGTAGACTCAATATCTCGAAAATTGGCGCAGCTACGGTGGCATACGCAATACTAGTTGCCGCTGGCATAAGCCACGAAGATTTGTGCCAGGATACTCTATGCCCGATTCTGCAGCAAAATATTATGGTTGCCAGTACTCCCAAGCGCAAAAACGCTGACCGATACGTTCGGATGAAGCAAATACTCATTTCGGGCAAGGTACACGAGCTAAGTGCCTACGAGACTGCCCCACACTCCACTTGCAAAAGGGTGATTCGCAACGTCCCACTTCAAGACGGTCCTGACATCATCGATGCGAAGATTGTCAACACAAATAATCCACTCGCCTTAGCAGCCAAAAGAATAGCACAAACTGGCATGGTCATCATCGCTTTTGACGGGTATCGTGTACCGAACTTTGTCAGGTATGGACCAGTGCTGATGCAGTGCTCTCTACCGCAAGCAAATCGACGTGTGTTATGCGTGCGGCCTTCTTGGTCATCGCGCTGACGTGTGCCCCACTCCCGGTGACACGATTTGCCGAGGCTGTGGTGCCGCAAGCCCCGACAAGCAACATGTGTGTACTCCCAAGTGCAAACTCTGTGGTGGCCAGCATCTCACGGCTAGCAAAGACTGTGCTCAAAGGTTCAAGATCCCGTACATTGTGCGCCGTCGTCGCAGTGAGCGGGCCAGAATGGCTGGTGCTGCTTCAACGTCCCCGCAACATCACCTCGACACTGCGGACGAGTTCCAGTCTTCGTCACCCACCACGGATGCTCAGCGCAGAGGCCGCCCTCGTTCCAGGATAGCTCGGGAGGCCGCTCCCGATCCACGCGCCGTGGTGCCTCCAAGGGATGTTCCGGCTCGCGCTCCAGGTTGACAGAACGTGCCCCCCAGGGAAGTTCCACTTCTCAGCCTCGCTCCAACTAAAGGCCGGGGCACGTTTCGTCGGGGTCGACCAGGTCCCGCTCGCGCACGCCCACCACCTCTAACAGCAAGAAGCTGACGCTCTCCTGGGCTGACAAGGCCGGAGAAAGACGAGAGTCTCCTAGAGGCGACGAATCTAATCGCGGTTCTCCCCACGCGAGTTAGCTTGACGAGATGCGACGAGCTAACGAGCAGTTGAGGATAGAAAACGCGCAGCTTAAGCAAGAAATGAACAGGCTAGCAGCAGAGATTAGAAAGCTCGCATCCTCGCCCCCTTCGGCGCAGCCCGCCCCAACCCCGGTCGCCATGGATACGTCTGAGGCACTTCACAGGCCTAAGGGAACCAAGCGCCGAGCGGTTGAGAACACACAAGAAGAAGAGGCAGTAAACTTACTGTCGGAACTCAAGGTTTCCTTTGTGAACATGGATAGTGTGGACGAAAACTTCCGAATCTGGCGATGAAACTGTGGCGGGTTTACTTACAAAAAGCCCATTCTACAGCAATATTTAAGAACTTTCGATGTTAAGCCCCAAATCATCACTGTTCAGGAAGTTGCGTCTGGCACCCCCATCAAACTCCCGGGTTACCTAGTAGCGTCATCACATTCAGGAGGTAGGGGAGTTGCCACACTTATCAGCAAAAGGTACAATTACCTATCGCGTGACCTCGGTGCAGTTGCCGATGGCATAGAGTACGTAATGACTGAAATTTTAATGAACTCACCCAAGAAGGGTCTTCGAAGAAATAGCCTTTTTATTCTCAACGTATACTGCAGTCTCAGTTATCGCAGGGCGAGAGCCAACTCTATCCTCAAAAGGGCTATGAGCATGGCCAGTAGTTACCCCCTTGTAGTCGTAGGGGATTTCAACGCCCCACACAGTGTGTTGGGATACATGTATGATACCCTCAAGGGACGCGAGCTATGGCAGACTGCGACAGAAGCCGACTTGACGCTTATCACTGACAAGGATTTTCCCACTAGGAGAAGTAACTCCACATGTCAAGATACTACCCCTGACCTGACTTTTGTGAAGAATATAGGTGGGGTCAAGTGGGTCAACACGGCTCTAGACCTCGGAAGTGACCACTATGTCATCGAGGTATCCTTCACGATTGCCCGCTTTAGGACGAAAAAATTCAAGGTGGTCGACTGGCACGTTTTTCGCGAAGGCAGAGCTGAGAGAGCACCGACGGCTGGGACAGACTATGAAGGATGGTACAAAAGAATCAGAGATGACGCCACGGCAGTGACCAAGGAGGTGGTCACTGACCTCGATGTCGAAAACATGGACAGCAGGTAGGCACACCTACTAGAATCTAAGCAAGCCCTACTGATGAGGTGGAAGGGACAGAAGCATAACAGGAGGCTCCGCAAGAAGGTTTTCGAGGTTAACAGGGCGATCGAGGAGCACTGCAAAATCTTGAGTAAACAACAATGACATGAGCTCTGCGAGAGCATCGAGGGTCAGCTCAGATCTGGGAAGAGCTGGGGTCTTCTCAAACACCTTCTCGATCAGGGCAGCACCAGGTCCAGCCAGAGGCGATTCCTCGCGCGAGCCATCCATCTTGCTACTGACTCTACCCTGAACGAATTGGTTGTCAACAAGCTTACAGACAGGTATCTGCGAGTCGCGGATAGCTCTGCACCCACACAGTTTCCGGACAACGCGGGGTGCGACGTGCCGGAGTTGGACCAGGACTATACTGTGGCCGAGATACGGCAGGCTCTCTTTTCCCTCAATGCCGAATCCGCCCCTGGCCCTGATGGCATAACCAATAAGATGCCCAAGAACCTTGATGATGACTCCATCGAATTCCTTACGGAAAAGATTAATGAGGTGTGGCGCAGGGGAGAGGTCTCCGCACAATGGAAGGCGGCTTACACAGTTCTAATCCTGAAACCTGGTAAAGCACCAGGAATAATCTAAGACCGATTTCCTTAATTTCCTGTGTCGGTAAGGTCGCAGAGCACGCCCTTCTGAACCGACTCAAGGTGCACCTCGAGACCAATGACATGTACACCCACAATACGATTGGTTTCAGAGCTGGTCTCTCTACACAGGACGCCATGAAGCTATTAAAGCATCAGATCATGGACCGGAGCACAGGAGATACCAGAGCCATCCTTGGATTAGACCTGGAGAAGCTTTCGACAACGTTTCTCACGAAGTCATTCTCCAGTCTATTGCCAGCTTAGGGCTAGAGAAGAGGGTCTACGACTTCGTGAGATCCTTTCTTTACCAGAGAACTACCAAGCTCAAGATTGAAGGGTACTTCTAACGAGAGATCAACCTCGGTTCACGCTGCACGCCTTAGGGCTCAGTTATTTCACCAACACTATTTAACATCGTGATGATCGGCCTCTCCAAGAAACTCGCGAAGATTCAAGGAATTAATCATACCATCTACGCAGATGATATCACCATCTGGTGCACCGGCGGGAGCGATGGTCAAGTGGAGGAAGCCATGCAGCGCGCAATCGACGTGACCGATTGTTTCCTCCGTCCCACCGGTCTCAGGTGCTCCCCATCGAAATCTGAACTTCTGCTCTACAAGAAAAGACCCAAAGGTGGCGGCCACCGTGACTGGAAACCTGTGTCTCAAAGTGAAATACGGCTTTTCACTGGTGACGGGTCCCCAGTGCCCAGAGTGGATTCGCTCCGAATATTGGGAATGTATATCGAGTCCAACGGCGCTAACGGAGCTGCACTCAGACAGATCACTACCAAGACGGAAAGTGCTCTCGGCCTCATCCGGAGGATCACCAACAGACACCGGGGAATCAAGGAAGACAATCTCATCCGCATCATACATGCGTTTGTGCTCTGCCACCTTTCGTACTCGGCGGCCATGTATAATTGGCATGTCGCAGAGAAAAGCAAGCTAAATTCCCTCATAAGAAAGGTCTTCAAGCTCGCGCTCGGCTTGCCTGTAAGCACTCGCACTGAA